CTTTATGTTATCCATTCAAAAGTTTACTTTGAACTGAATAAAACAGTTATAACGAAAACATAATTGATTGAACACATTTTTAGAATAATCAAATAATTAATTTACACTGATTAATTAATTATGAATAAGGCATTTACTCCAAAAGTTAAGTAATTTAATAAATAATAAAAACTGCTATTGATTATAATACTTCATAAAAAGAGTTAAAATTTGACATTTCCCTTTACACTTTTACATTATGCACTTTTTATCAGTAAAAAACATTAGTCTTAAATTTAAAAATGTATGGTAGATTTGGTAACAAATTTGCAGTATATGCCATATTTTGTTTCTGGCTGTTTCTATGAAACATTGCAAGCAACAGCTAATGTGTGCAATTCGGTTGCAAAACATGAACGTGAAGTTCAAATGGAAGCATTTCAACGTGTGGTAACACCTATCAAAAGTTGGATTTTAGAAGATTATCCACGACTGATGAAGGCTATTCTTGTTATTATGCATTTTATTTAACTTGAAGCTTGCGTTTACTTTTGAAAACATATGAAGAAGGTTAAAGTTATTCAAAAATTAATCATTGTAAACTTTGTAGGATATCAAAAAATGTTATCAGTTAAAAGATAAAATGGATAGAACAATGGCAAGCGCAGAGGCTAGAAGAACTCCTGAACGAGTTGCCAAAGCACACGAAGCTAAAAATAAACATAAGCAATTTTTTGAACGCATCGAAAATGAAGTGATTATTTTGCGTATTTTTTTTTTCTTTCAATCAAATTATCGCAAATTTGTATAATTAATTTATAAAAAATTCGAATAATTGTAAATTTATTATTTGATGAAAATTATTCTAAGGTACTGCGATATAAAGCAGTTCATCGACATCACATGCAATGCCTGAAAGTTCTAATGCTTCAAAGTGTAAGATTTTATTGTCCACAACATGTCCAGCAATGTTAAGCTGAAATTATTGCTTTATTCTTGTTAATCTTTAGAATAGAATTGCAAAATTTTTTGCTTTCAAAATGGAAATAAAGTTTTGTTTTGCTAAAAATAGAAATAAGCTTTTCATTGCTGTAAATTTGCATAGTTCGTAGAATTTTTAAAGATTATATTTTATTTATAATTAAATAATTGAATAAGTGATTATATTATTTGTCTGAATATGAATGATTAAATGCTGAAAAATATTCAATTTCCAAGCTAATATCAAAATTTTAGTATCAATTTGAGCAAAAAGCAAAAAATGCCTTCTCAGCAGCATTTACAAAATGTGAAGCAGAAATTGAAGCAGGCAGTGCTGCAATAAAAGAATTACGCAAAGGTACTACGACAGTTGAAGAAACTGAAGTAAAAGAATCTAATAAAGAAGGCGAGAAAGATGCTAATGCTGAAGAGCAAGCGGATTCTAAAAAGGATGATAAGAAGGAAGAAGAAAAAGTTTCATCGAAAAAATCTAGCCAAAAATTAGAAAAAAAAGATGAATGCCATAAGGAAGATGCAAAAGATAATGAATCTGCAGTTAGCATGAAAGATAAAGTAAATGAAAAAGAAACGGAGAAGGAATCTGCTGAAAATCCTGGAGATAAAAAGAAGGAAGAAAGTTCTAAAGACCTTAGTAACTTGACGTAATCCATCTGCCTTCTAATCTTTTATATATAATTTTTATTATAAATTTATGCTTTTTCATTCTGATCAGTAGCTTAAGCATACCAGATAGATCAATGTAATAATCGTAACAAAATAAAAATTTTTTCAGCTCAATACATTATCAATTAATAACTTTATATTACTCCTGAATACTTATCATTTATAAGTATTCAGAAGTATATATATATACAGCTGATAATTTAGTATTTCAATTTAAACCAGATGAAATATGTGAAATACAAAAATATTAATTAAATTATTTAAATAGTTTTGTGAATTATTTTATGAATAAAGAAACAGCGTGAAATAAATTGCATCAAATAATGACGAATTCCTAGCTAATATATGCTCTGATTAAATACATAATAATATTTTAAGAGCACAAATAGTATTATTATTTATTCATAAATTATTCAAAGCAAATATTTAACTTCAAATTAATAAGTTGTGGTATGAATGTTGCAATTAAATCAAAACTTTGCAAGCAAAAAAATTATAAATTTTTTATAACTTTCAAGAGAGTTGTAAATTGCTTGATTTTTATTATCATTATTAAATCTTGGCAAATAAGTTGTAAACATACGTAACTCATTACACAAAAATAATGCTTACTTATATTGGAGCATTATAATCAAACTAATTTTCTTTATCCCATAATAGTAAGTGTTAATGAAAAAATTATTTTCCTTGAGAGATATCATGTGCATCAATAATACAACTACGTCAAATTAAAACGGAATCAATAAATTACACGTGTGTCTCTGTCCAACATCACAAACAACTCGTATGAACTTAAGCGAACTTTGCAAATTCGCTTCGTTAGGTACTCATTTAAAAGTAGTTTTTTGACCCGGAACACACCATGGATTCATATGTAATTGCAAAGGTTATATCGGTTTGAGTGGACATTGTCAAGAGATAAATTCAAATTCATGCATTTGCAAAAATTTATGAATGCAGCATTCTTGTCTAATTCATGTCGTATTTGCAGATAAAATTATTGTGCAACAAAATGCAAAATACCATCTGATGCGTATTAATCCAACTTCATTCATCCCTGCAAAAATTGTACAAATAGTAGCTAAAATTTGCATATTGTTGGACACTGTCTAATACTGTCATTTCTCTTCTGCCAAAAAAGTAAACATTTTACCTACTTCACTCACATCTTCACATATTAATTAATTAATCTCTGATTTTTTAATAAATAATTTGATAATTACGTGTAAATATTTGTTTTTTTTACGAGAGTCACATAAGATGAGTAATGTTGAATAATGAGATTAAAAAAGTTGTATGATTAATTAGCTCATATGTAGTAAGCGTCTAGACTAATAAAAATTACTGAAAACGTTTAAAGATAGGCTTGGCTGAGACGTGGGATGGAGATGTGTGTAGCGCAAAGAGGGAATGGAATCGATGCAGGATAAGTGTGGAGGGGAGCTGTTGGCAAGGGAGATGAATTAGTTTATTATTTGAAAGAGAAGAGGGACGGACGGAACGGAATACTGCTCGTATGCAGCATTCTTGTCTATTTCATTTCACATTCCGCGATATCCCGGGAACACGTCTCGTATGTTACTATTTTGCATGCTTGTCCAATGTCATAGTTGGCTTAACTTTGGCTAAATTACTTATTCACTTCATATAGTCACTCATTCATCCGTGGCATATTCTATCTATTGTTTTTCCTCTTTCGTTATTCACGCACGCACGAATAGTCTTCATGTACTTGTGCTTGCTTGCTTACTTACTTACATGCATACGAACTAACTTCATTATATTGCGTACTACGTCTAGTTTAGTGTCAGTGTCTGCGTGTATGTCAAGTGTATGCTTGCGTGTGTAATGAAAAAAGACGCCAGGGCTAAGTTGAGTGCAATGCAGACTGCTTCAACCCCTCTTGCTCTCTCCCTTCCCTGGGCGTTATTTCGAAAATTCGCTCCTGTCTTAACTTTTTCACTTTAACTTTTGCACATCCATAAATTGTCTTGAACGTTCTATGCTAAGGTTTCTCTTCAACTCCCCTCACTTTATTTCACACTTCCCTCTTCGTCTTCTTCACGTGACTATGACCTCAAGTTCAAAACTTTTCATGTTTATGCTTGGCTTTTATTTACTGATTATTGTTGTCTTTTTTCAAATGGCTTTTAAGCGTAATAGTTTTGAACTTTTGCGCGCAAATGTTGAAGCAAATGTTTGTTATGGAGCAATTCACTTGCTTAGAAATCATTGTTTGTAGCATTAGTAGTTTGTTTTTTGGTGAAATGTTGGTTGATTTTACGAATCGTTCTTACGATCTCATGTCAAAAGTAAGAACATACAATAGTATATTAGATTAATATGAAGTCAGTGTTGAGTGCATTTTTATTTTACTCACAATTTTTGTTATCAAACTTCATGCATAATGCATAATTGTTATCATTTGAACAATCTATCCATTTTTATTTTTCATCGATTATTAATATTAATCGGAGTATTGTTGTGAGGTCACGTTCTCCATATACGTAATAATTAAATACCAAAGTTTTGAGAATTACATGGGTTTTCTCTTTACTTACATTACTGTGCATTGTTTCCGTTATTAAAACATTTTATATTCAGTTGCGTATGAGAATTAACCGCAAGTACTCAAGTGATCGGTAAGTCAAAAATTTGATGCAGAAACTGTTTAGCTTTATTCTCTAGTCATAGCTTCAGCTTACGATTCAGTTTGGCAATTAATGTAAGCCTATGAAGCTGTATTTTCCGCCATTATTTGATCCAAATGTTCAGTCTTTACTAATTTAAATAATTTTTGCAAATATAAATTTTCTATCATTGGTGTGTGTGTTTGCGTGTGTGTACGTGTGTGTACGTGTGTGTATGTGTGTGTGCAGATGAAAGCAGAAGCT